AAGCAGACTTCCTGATTCCCACCCCCCTGGGTAGAACTGACTACTTTGTTCACGTGATAACCTGCACATGCCTTTATTGAAGTGCACGCTGCTGATGCATCCAGTTTTATCCATGTCTGTCTCCCCTACTGTTGCGTGTACTGATTGAGAGTCAAGGTCATATTTTGATCATCTTTTCTTCTCAGTGCTTAGTATAGAGCCTGGTACAAAGCTGGCACCAGATATTTGTTTGTTGAATAAGTACATGAATAAAGTCTTGTGGAAGGATGCATCCTGTATGGTTTCTGCACTCAGCTAAATTTCTTACATTAACCAAACCATGACCAATAATCAGGATTAAAAAAAGGTAAAATACAGACAACTTTAACTCCCTGATTCCTGTTCGGCCCACAAATTTTTCTTCCAAATACCATTTTCCTTCAAAGAACATTAATTTTTTTAGATCCTTTGGAGAGTTTATATTCTTATAAAGCTGAAGTTATGCAGCAATGAGTATAATCAACAGTGCAAGAAGAAACTATATTTTTGTCCAAGCTTTGAAACTAATAAATTCTGTCACATTAGGAAAGTCTGCTTCCTCACCTGTTGAGTACAACTAGGGGTGGCACATGGGTTTCATTTCAAGGATCAACTCCAATCAATTGGTAGTGATCATATAAAACACCATGTTGAGTTCAGTGGGAAAGAAACCTGGGATTGATTAGTGATGTCTGCCATGGGTGCCAGTGGAAAGAATGTTGGAAAATAGGCTAGGTATTTGCCATCCTGGTGTAAATGATCTCAAGCATCCCTTTCCAGCTCTAAGCTTCTGATTTATATTCCAGTAGTTCATAGACTACCCAGCATCATTTAACATTTATAGTATCCTTGTTGTATATGGCCAGGATGTGCTTAGGGTTTACTAGACCCTGGTACTGTGTAAAGTGCTTCACATGGATTGTCTCATTTCATCCTCAAAACAATGCTATGGGGCCCATGCTATCATTGTTCACACTATACAGGGTGAGGAACTTGAAACCAAAGAAGCTGAATGGCTTGCAAGGTCACATGACTGTAATAGTGAAATCAGAATTCACACTCTGAGATTCTTTCTCAGAGTTCTTAATGAGTTTCTCAGAGTTCCAAACCACAATGTTGAGGTAGCTGTTCCATGTTGGCTCCTTTCTAGACAGAAAGACTAAAAGTCTGCAAAAGAAAAAAAAAGTAAGCATACTAAGGGGTTAGGAAACTGCCTGTATTTTACTGACAATGATTTTGCAACCATAAGTAACACAGGGCAGTACAACTCTTGACTGTTCCTGAATCACTGATTTTATGGGCAAGCTTTTGAAATGCATGGTTCCCTGGGAAAATTCAGACACATAATCATTTTTCAGTAGTATTAATGAGTTAATGAAGTTGGGATATTTTAGATAAAATGAAACAGGAAATCACTCCTTATCTGCCTTTTATATATGGAGAGGATGGTTAAGAACTTCGTTTGGGGCCTTGATGCACATAGGTGGTTCTTTGAGGCAGTTGATCAGCAGCTTCCATTACACATTACTTTTGCCCTCTCTCTGTTCCCCAATCCCTGACACTCAGCAGATGATCTCCTGTCTGATTGGTCCACTCTGTTCCTAGTCCTTTACTCCAAGTAGATTCACCTGTGCATTATGCTCCTGCCAGTCCGTAAAGGCCAGTCTAACCCACCAGCAGCTTTTCTAGGCTCAGATCAGAAGAGACTTCACAGAATTGACCATGATGAGTTTACCAGAGATGGCTATATAGGACCGTCCCCAAATTCAACTGACCAATAGGTAAGGCAAGGGATCCGGTCACACTTCCTTCCACTGAAGGCTGAATAGCACCTTCTCCCAACCAGCAAAGGTTAGAAAAAGGCATTTCCCCTGATGCCCAGCAGGTAAAAGGATATGCAAACCATTTCACAGAAAAAGGTAATACCTTTAGTTGTATTTGTACATGAATTTTCTTGTATCTTCACTCCATTCCCTCCTCTTTATCCAAGACTAACTTTTGTATCATCCATGCTCTGGACCTCATCTTTTGAAAGAACTTCTTCCCTTTTATGTTTTATGTTAATTTCCAATTACTCATTAACTACATGAGTGGATTCTTTGTGTAAGAAATTAAGATGCTGGGGCGCCTGGGTGGCTCAGTCGTTAAGCGTCTGCCTTCGGCTCAGGTCATGATCCCAGGGTCCTGGGATCGAGCCCCGCATCAGGCTCCCAGCTCAGCGGGAAGCCTGCTTCTCCCTTGCCCATTCCCCCTGCTTGTATTCCTGCTCTTGCTATCTCTGTCTCTGTCAAATAAATAAATAAAATCTTTAAAAAAAAAAAAAGAAATTAAGATGGTGCAGATAAGTTGAAGTCAGGTAAGTTGTTGAAAAATACGTATCTTGAAGGAGGGGCCGGGGAATAGCAGCTTGACTGGTAATTGAAGCTGTTGCCATTGGTGAGACTCTGGAGAGAATTTTCTCCTCGATCTTAAACCCTTTTAAAAATAGTATCTTCCCCTTGGCATAAATAGCTCTCAGTCACTCTCATTTTCAGAAACAAAGCCAACAAACAAAACCGAAACAACTCCCATTCCCCTAAATCCTCCCTCGGTTAGCACCTCTTTCCCCCTTAGCCTCCCATTCACTGCTTTTAGGGCTTTGCCTGTGTCTTCCAACTTTTGCAGTTCCACCGCCATATGTCTTCCTATTGTTGGCGTTGGGTTAGATCCGATGACAAAGAGCACACACACCAAGAGCTGAAGTAAAAACCCAAGCATATCTTATTGCTGCCTTCCACTGACTCTTGACCCAGAGAGCTGGGAGTAGGGTTAGGGAAGCCAGAAGGCACATGGGCAGTTGTACCTATGGGGCTGGTATTCTCAGCTAGACCAGCTGTGGGGCCCCTGAAGGTGAGGAGTGGCTTCTTCCCTAGGAGACAGGGAATGTTTGCACCCCGAGTTGCCAGCATCGGCAGCACTTATCAAACTCAGAGCTGCTCATCGTTGGGCACTTTCTTGGTTAAGAGCTTATCTGGTGTAGGGGCGCCTGGGTGGCTCAGTCGTTAAGCGTCTGCCTTCGGCTCAGGTCATGATTCCAGGGTCCTAGGATCGAGTCCCGCGTCCGGCTCCTGGCTCGGCGGGGAGCCTGCTTCTCCCTCTCCCACTCCCCCTGCTTGTGTTCACTCTCTCGCTGTGTCTCTCTCTGTCAGATAAATAAATAGAATCTTAAAAAAAAAAAAACCAAAAACAGCTTATCTGGTGTAACTGTGACACTAGCAGACGTACCCAGCAAGCTTGCGTCTCTACTCCACCCCAGTCAGTCAGTCACACGTCTGTGTTCATGCTGACGTCATCATGTATCCTCTGAATTAACGTGTTTCTATCTTTAAGCTTAAGATCCTTCTAACTTAGTTGGGTGACCCTCTAAAAGCAGTCTCAAAATATGAGGTATTAAGCCAGCAAATCCCTGGACCAAAAGGAAAAGCCCAACATTTCCCAACTGTATCATTCTATATGCACACAAACAAACAAGTCAGGAAGACATTGTCTTTATAAAAGGATAGCAATCCAGTTGTCTTGACACAATTTAATAAATGTTACTCATCCTCCCAAAGATGTAAAATGTTTCCTTTACCATAAACCTCATTTTCAAATCTGCGAGGCTCTGTTTTTGTTTTTGTTTTAGGTTCTTCGATCTCTAATCCAGTCCAATGTCAATACCACACTGTTTTACTTGCTATAATTTATTTCATCTTGATATTTGGTAGGGTAAGCCCCCCTTTATTGTTCTTTTTTGCAAAAATATTTTGGAGGGAGAAACTAGTCCACATGTTTTCTCTTCCATATGAATGAGAGAATTAGCTCATTGATTTCTATTAAGTATTCCTTTGGAATGAGCTAAAGGGACATACCAAATCAGTGAGGATGAGCGGGGCTTTCTAATATTCCACTATTGGAGATAACTGGATAGTCATATGGAAAAAAGATTAAATTATATACATTTTTCTGTTTATCAGGATACTTCCAAGGTGGATTAGAGTTTTAATGTAGAAGTAAAGTGACTCAGGCCCTGCCTCCAACCCCAGGGGGGCAGACAAACATCGACGTGTGTGGTTGCAGCAAAAGCTGTAATGCAGGTTTGTACCAAGCCCCATGGGAACCCACGAGGGCGTGCCAGCCCCACCTGGGAGCACGGTGAAAGCTTCATAGCACCTCGGTGTCACCAGTAAGAAAGGCTTAGGAGAGGGGAAGGTCTGGCAAGCAGAGGCAAACATGTGGAGATGTAAAGGACACCTGCAAGGTCAGGGAATGGCAGAGAGGGAAGAACACGTGGTCGAGAGGACAGTGGTGGAGAGAGGTGGAGAGGTGGAGAGAGGGTTAGGCTGGGCTAGCTCACCAAGGGCTTTGAGCCCAGACTGAACTGAAGAGCTCATCAGCAAGCTGGGTCCAGAGTCTGTGTCTCAGCATTCACCCAGGAGGCCTTGGGAACATGAGAAAACCTTAGCTGTCCCCCTGATCAGCTGTTGCAGTTAGTTCAGTGCAGATCAGAGAGAGGAACGGGCCTCCACCCTGACACTCTCAAGGCTCCCCCTACCCGCCCCCTGTTTGGTCTCAGTAGAAATCCAACAGAAGTGACAGGGCCTCTGCAGCATCCCCACCACCTCCTCGAGTGGGTACAACCTGGCCTGAGTGCTTGTTCCCTCTGCAGACTTCAGCACTATACCGATAATCAGGAGACACTGGGGATTTTCCTCTGGGTTCAAAACACTTCAGTTTCACCTAGTACCAGCACTGGCCAGGTCTCAAAGTCTGGAGCCATCCACAAACAGGTCCATTCAGATAACTGCTCTGCGCTCCCTTCCCCCCTTAAACTAACAAAAACACTCTTATCTTCCAGCCAAAAAAAAACACATCATCATCCAAACGCACCAACTTCCTATTTTTCCTGGCCGGCAGCCCCTTCTTCTTCATCGCCTCGGCCCGGTTTCCCAGCAGCAGTCAGCCGGCTCGGACGGCAGGGAGGCTCTACCCCAGGGAGCGCAGGACGCGAAGCGCAGGCGGAGAGGCGCTGCGGGCAGAGCGGGGCCCCTCCAAGTGCTCTGAGAGCCAGAGGCATTTCTTTCAAACCTTGGCTGCAGTCACTGCGTGTCACCTGCGATCAACACGTCAGAGCTGACAAAGCTGTTTCCGTACGTATGTATTACTTCTTTTCATCCTTGCCACCGCCTCGGGAGGCAGGATCTGATTTTTGTTTCAAGGATGAGGAAACCGAAATTCAGAGAATTTGAATGGTTTTCTGCAGATCACTCGGCAGAGTCTGGAATTGAATTTATGATTTCTGACTAAATCCTGGGGCGCTGGCCCTATGCTGGGCATCCCAGAAAGGATAGATGGCTTTGAAAAGCCCCAGAAGATGTGTGTGATGGTACTCAGACACGCGCGCGCGTGCACGCGCACACACACGCACCCGCCCCCACCCCCATACACACACAACAATCGTGGGGCCTAATCCACTTTAAGAAACTCATCAAATAGTTATATATATACACAATGGAATATTATGCAGCCATCAAAAGGAATGAGATCTTGCCATTTGCAATGACGTGGATGGAACTGGAGGGTATTATGTTGAGTGAAATAAGTCAAACAGAGAAAGACATGTATCATATGATCTCACTGATATGAGGAATTCTTAATCGCAGGAAACAAACTGAGTGTTATTGGAGTGGGGGGTGGGGTGGGAGGGATGGGGTGACCGGGTGATAGACACTGGGGAGGGTATGTGCTCTGGTAAGCGCTGTGGATTGTGCAAGACTGTTGAAACTCAGATCTGTACCTCTGAAACAAATAATGCAATATATGTTAAGAGAAAAAAAAAAGAAGAAGAAGGTAGCGGGAGGGGAAGAATGAAGCAGGGGAAATCGGAGGGGTAGAGGAACCATGAAAGACTATGGACTCTGAGAAACAAACTGAGGGTTCTAGAGGGGAGGGGGGTGGGGGGATGGGTTAGCCTGGTGGTGGGTATTGAGGAGGGCACATTCTGCATGGAGCACTGGGTGTTATGCACAAACAATGAATCATGGAACACTTCATCTAAAACTAATGATGTAATGTATGGGGATTAACATAAGAATAAAAAAAAAATAGAGAAACTCATCAAATAGCCAAAGCACTTAGCAATGTATCTGACACCATACAGTGCCTCCCCTGGGAAGGAGACTACCTTAAGATCACCATCCACTTTTGTGAACGAACTTGACAGCAATTTGTCACGCTGAATAGTACTAATTTGCTTGCAAGTGTGCTGATCTCATCAGGCTGTGAGCTGGTCAGGGCTCCACAGTGCGTAGCATACGGTTGATCTTTAAAACACATTTTCGGGGTGCCTGGGTGGCTCAGTCCTTAAGCGTCTGCCTTCGGCTCAGGTCATGATCTCAGTGTCCTGGGATCGAGCCCCGCATCGGGCTCCCTGCTCCACAGGAAGCCTGCTTCTCCCTCTCCCACTCCCCCTGCTTGTGTTCCCTCTCTTGCTGTGTCTCTCTCTGTCAAATAAATAAATAAAATCTTTTTAAAAACACATTTTAAAGAAAAAGAATGAGTATGAGAGGCATCAGGACAGAGAAACTCCCACTTCGGTCACCTTCTTCCAGCACATATGCTGATATTAATTCTGCTCGGTTAATAATATGCTCATGACTCGCCAGTCAGTCAGGCTCTGTAGGAGGGGGGACATAGAGCAAATGGGCAGAGATGGAGTGAGGTGCATCAGGTGCATCCGCAGTGGCGCACTAGGTGCCAAATGCTGGTGGGAAGACAATACTGAGACAGGTAGTTCAGCAGGAGGCACCTGGGAGTGAGCAGGCAAAAGCCCTAAATGGAAATGTGGCAGAGCTGATGGGCAATGCTAAGAAGGCCGTGCTGTGACAGCATCTGGCCTGGAAATGGACAAGCTAGGCAGTCTGCCCCGACTGTCTAAGTTCCAATGGGCTCCCCTCCAAGGGGGGTTGGGTTCTATCTAGTCTCCTCTTACTGCGCATCATCCTGAAGGTGTTCTGCTCCCTCCAGCCCACCGCTCTAAGAGCAAACGTGTGCATGCGATGAAGCCATGGGTAGGAGGAGAGCCTGGGATGAAGAGAAAAGAAACAAATTATTGATAATCCCTTCAAATTGCTCTATGCATCGTGGCCTGTCCTGTCCTCTCATTGAAGTCACGGCAGCAACAGTGAGTGGGAAACTAAACAATTAAAAAAAAAAAATAGTCAGCTTAGGGATGCCTGGGTGGCTCAGTTGGTTAAGCATCTGCCTTTGGCTCAGGTCATGATCTCAGGGTCTTGGGATTGAGTCCCACATCAGGCTTCCTGCTCAGGGGGAGCCTGCTTCTCCCTCTGCCTACTGCTCCCCCTGCTTGTGCTCTCTCTCTCTCTCAAATAAATAAATAAAATCTTAAAAATAAAAAAGCCAGTTGGGAGCAAAGTAGAACAGAAATCAGTTATACCTTGCTAGGTAATTAGGAGGGTCATTAATTTTTCCTTCATCTCCGTATTAAAAAGAAATGCGTCTGCCAGTTGCTTGGTTAGTGAGGAGTCATGGAGACACATGCTGTAAGTGCCTGAGACAACGGCTTCTTGTCAGATTCCAGACCCATGAGAGAATAGCCTGGGAGGACTCCCCCTGAGCCACCAGGGGAGGCTCCATTTGGTGAGCGGGTGTACTGTTGGTCTGGCACAGTCCAGGTAAATATCGGCAACGCAGGAGAAGCAAGGATGCTCATGTTAAACTGTCTGCGCATCCCAACTAGTAAGTGGAGTCTGGAGACCAGTGGGGGCGCACATATGAGACAGGCAGAGTCTCTCCTCCAGTTCTGGGCCAAAGTCTCTTGAAGAGAAAAGGGTTCTGGGCAATTTACTAGGAGAGAGGTTCACATATAGAGTCCAAGGTCAAGGCTCAGTGATAAGAACAAAACATATGGGAGGGGGAAGGCACTTTCTCATGGGGGTAGGGGTGTCTCAATGCCCAGAACACAAAGCTAAAGCTGATTGAAAATCACCTGCCTCCATCTGGATTGGACCAGGTAATTGCGGGTGAGGTGAGTCCTGTGTATGGGAATCAAGGGAGCCCCAGCTATGGAAGGAGAAGGAATTACAGAGGCTGGAACCCAGGTAGGAACTGACATTATTGGATGATCTCATTGTCACCACTGAGCTAAAACCCATTTGTAAAATTAGGCTAGTACTGACTTACTTTTCTTCCCAGAATTCAATTTCTTTCATGGCGTCACACATGATGGGATTTTAGGGACACTGGGACAGCTGCCTCCACAACCTCCTTCCCTGAGATCAAATAAGGAAATGGAGGCATTGGTGACAACAGCTTCCATTGCGCCAGGAAAGGTGAAAGTCTCAACACAGACTAAGAAGGGAAGCCAGGGCACTTTATTTTGTTTTGTTTTGTTTTTATTTAAATTTCAGTTAGTTTTAACATGCAGTGTGATATTAGTTTCAAGTGTACAATATAATGATTCAACACTTCCATACAACACCCAGGCCTCATCACAACAAGTGTACTCCTTCATCCCCATCACCTGTTTCATTCATCCTCCCCGGGCCCCCCTTCGCAACTGGTAACCATCAGTTTGTTCTCTGGAGTTAAGAGTCTATTTCTTGCTTGTTTCTCTCTTTTTTTTTTTACCCCCTTTGCTCATTTGTTTTGTTTCTTAAATTCTACATAAGAGTGAAATCATATGGTATTTGTCTTTCTCTGACTAACTTATTTCACTTAGCCTAACACTCTCTAGCTCTATCCATGCCGTTGCAAATGGCAAGATTTCGTCCTTTTTTATAGCTGAGTAATATTCCGTTGTACACATATACCACATCTTCTTTATCCATTCATCAGTCGATGACACTGGGGCTGTTTCCATAATTTGGCTATTGTAGATAATGCTGTGATAAACATCAGGGTGCAGGTATCCCTTTAAATTAGTATTTTTTGTATTCTTTGGGTAAATACCCAGTAGTGCAATTGCTGGATGGTAGGGTAGTTCCATTTTTTTTTTGAGGAATCTCCATGCTCTGAAAAACAGCATTTTTCACAGCATGGAGATTCCTCAAAATGCAGCTGCACCAGTTTGCATTCCCACCAACAGCACATGAGTGCTCCTTTTTCTCCACATCCTCACCAACAATTGTTGTTTCTTGTGTTGATTTTAGCCATTCTGACGAGTGTGAGGTGATATTTCATTGTAGTTTTGATTTGTATTTCCCTGATGAGGAGTGATGTTGAACATCTTTTCATGGGTCTATTGGCCATCTGTATGTTTTCTTTGGAAAAATATCTATTCATGTGCTCTGCCCATTTTTAATTGGATTATTTGTTTTTGGGGTGTTGAGTTTTATAAGGTTCTTTTAAAGGTTTATTTTAAAATAAATTTTATTTATTTTGTCAGGAGGGGCTGATGGGGAGGGAGAGGGATAAGCAAACTCTACTCTGAGCACAGAGCCCAAAGTGGGGCTCAATCCCACGACCCTGAGTTCGCAATCTGAGTCAAAATCAACAGTTGGATGCTTAACCAACTGAGCCATTCAGGCACCCCAATTTTATAAGTTCTTTATGTATTTTGGATACTAACCTTTTATTGGATATGTCATTTGCTAAATATCCTCTCCTATTCCATAGGTTACCTTTTAGTTTTGTTAATTATTTCCTTCACCATGCAGAAGCTTTTTATTTTGATGTAGTCCCAATAGTTTATATTTGCTTTTGTTTCTTTTGCCTCAGGAGACATATCTAGAAAGAAGTTACCACAGCTGATGTCAGAGAAGTTACTGCCTGTGTTCTCTTCTAGGATTTTTTATGATTTCAGGTCTCAAATTTGGGTCCTTAATTTATTGTGAATTTATTTTTATGTATGGTGTAAGGAAATGGTCCAGTTTCATTCTTTTGCATGTTGCTGTCCAGTTTTCCCAACATCCATTTGTTGAAGAGACAGTCTTTTCCCCATTGAATATTCTTTCCTGCTTTGTTGAAGATTAACTGACCATATAATTGTGAGTCCATTTTTGTGTTTTCTATTCTGTTCCATTGATTCATGCGTCTATTTTTTGTGCCAGTACCAGACCATTTTAATCACTATAGCTTGAAGTTCAGAATTGTGATTCCTCCAACTTTGCTTTTTTCAAGATTGCTTTGGATAT